GAGAACCTCTTTCTTTTTGGAAAACTATCTAGATAAAAAAATACCAGTCACGTAGTATACCAAGGTTCAAATCCTTTCTACTTAACAGAATATTTTTTCTAGTAAATAAAAATCTGATTAGGTATCTAAATAATTTTGGTTATATATTTATAAAGTTTATATTACCACTTATTATACTTATAGAATGCATGCATTTTATAGTTTTTTAATTCAGATAAATGGAAACAATAGTTCGTTTTTGTAAAAATTATCTAGTTAAGTAGGATAATAATATTTTTAGCTTTTTCCATTGATTCATCAATGCGAAATTATAAATACACTTATAAAACGGAAATCCAGTTAAGCTAATAAGCAAAGAAATAGGAAACAAAGCGATGTAACAAACGCGTAGGTTTCTCAAATAGCGGGAAACGTTGAAGGAGTCGTGTACAGGAAGGTAGGGCAGGTCGGGTGACGAGATTGTATCGAGTCGCACGAACTGTCCCGACTCCCGCCCGAGGTACTCGTACCCACGGAAGACAATTGAATACATGTGAATATAAGCACGATCGTGCGCTTGAAGAATGTTCTAGATAATTGATTGATCTTCTGTTATTGATTTAATCTTCTATTGGACACTTATTATGATAAATTAAATGGTTAAAATTAGACCTCAAAAATTTCAAATACAAAAGCCTCCCCTCCCACTCACATCGCCAAGTTTTTTGTAAACTCACAGAATGTATGATAATAATAATAAGACAAGGTCAAAGTAATATTAAAAATAATCACTAGTAATCCGGCCCAGCTTCGCACGAGCAGGTAGAATTTTCTAAAATAACACATAGTCATGTTACACACAGGTTACTCGCTGATAATATAGCTTTTTATAGGTGAAGAAATTTTTAAGACAGATCAAGTAGTTTTATACTTAATCCATTACATACAAACAATCGAATCTTTCTTCATAATTAATCGATCATTATATAATAATTTTGGATTTTTTTTCTAAATTGTAATCGTTCCTAAAACAGTTCGAGTAAAACCTTAATATACTTTTTGCGAGTCTAATGAATAAATAACAATTTGGTGTAAGATTCAAGGAACAACAAAATTTTAAAACATTTAAATATTCCGATACCTAACACCTAATAAATCTATAATATAGAAGATTTGTCTATATTTTATTATTTAAACAGTATATACCTTACTGAACTAGGTGTCATTTTGCCGGTAATATAGTATATATATTGCTAGAATTAAATCTAAAAAGTGCCACCCATAAAGGAGTTACTTTCAGAAAATAATTTAATTTTAAAATTTTAAATTGAAGTGCAGCTAAACTCTCGGACTGCCGACTGCGGCACTCAGCACACACTGCACATAAGAAAGGAGATCTTTCATCTTGGCACAGCTGCCGGGCTGAGACCGGCCCGCGTGTACATAATGATATATGCACCGCGCCCGCTACCATCGCGCCATCCTTATTACAAACAGGTTCAAGTCTATATAAAATTGCAATATTTTTACAAGAAACCGTCGCTGAATATAAATTAATTTAAATAAAAATAAAACACACGCATTGATTAATCGATTATGAATTATTCAATTCATCTAATTAACTCTGCTACAGTAGCCCGGTCAATATTGTAATAAGCGCTATTATATGAAAATTACACTACATTTTATGTATCTACATTACATTGTATGTATGTGCATTGAAAATATTCTTGTATAAAAACTTGTCGAGCTTTAAATGGGCAAAAGCATGTTCTGTTATGTGACTAAAAATATAAAACATGTAAATAAAACAACCACAATGTGATGATACAAAAAATGGCATACAAAGTAAATATATACAAATATGTTTACTTTGTATGCCATTTTTTTTTTGTTTTAAGTCCGAAAGAGTGCTTAGATTCTTGCTTAAATACAATTAAAACATAAAATTGTTGAAGAATGTTGACAAAAACAACATATATTTTTAAATTTGATATCAGTTGATCATAAGTTACTGCACTCTATGCATATAAAAAATTAAGTTACTTAAATAGTGTTCTAAATTTAATTAAAATTTCAAACTAGTTCACATGATTATATTTCAATTAATTATTCATAAATTATTACTAATGAAGCTTAATATACAACTCCGATAATAAATAAAACATTTTGAGAACTTTATTATACCTAATATTATAAAAATAAAAATTAGAATAAAACACGGGCTATCAAGGCCGCCAAAAATGAAGACGTTTTAAAATCGCCTCTTGCGATACGTCTGTAAGTCAGCAACCAATAATTTTTCGTATCGGTTAAATAATTATCTGCTATCGTCGAATTGGCAGCACAGGTCGAGGACCGAAAAGATGGCCGGCATGTACCGACAGCAAAACAATTGTTTAAAAAAATTACATTTATTAAAAGTGTGTTAGCTTACTAATATAACAAAATTGTAATTAGACTATATATATATATATATATCATCATGAAAAAATCATATGGGGATCATAATAAAAGATAAGACCAATCTCTATTTTAGTTTTATTGTCGGTGTGCCTATTTGTTCCAACATCACGTTAAAACCTAATGCATCAAATTGAATAAGGTTTCCATGATTGTGTTACTAAAGGTTTAACCCAAAATGTAGTGTATAGTGTACGAGGTTAAAGGGAAAATATTATATTTATATACAGTTTATATATAACGATATATAATGGAAATACCAATTCAGTGATAGTATTCATGAAACGCAATAACTTTACAGAACATAATTACGAAAAGATTTTTATAAAACTTAACGTGGGGTAATTTTGAACAACTTATCTGCTTCCTATATCGCCAAGCAGGCTATATTGCCATATGATTTGATTTGATGATACCGTAGTCCTCAGAAATGGCTTCAAAAGTTCCATAAAAGTTGTTTTTGTCTACAAGCAATTTTGTTCCCATCAGATGGGGCGTCCATTTGCTATTCCGAGATGCAAGATTAGGGTTGTATTTTAATTATATTAGTCCAAGAAAATTTTAGTTTTGTGAACACAAAAATACACATGAAAACACAAAAATAGCTCAAAAAAGCTGATTTCTAACTTATATAAACGTAAAATAAACAAAGAAGTTATACACTTAACTAATTTCAATACACTCACAATATAGGTAGGTACTCAAAGAGATAAAAAAATCCCAAATAATTTTATTTCTAATACGTCAAAAAAATGTACGAATTATAATCTAAAGAATTAACTATAAATTAACGTTGACATATTGCACTATGAATAAAAAATGTGTTTATATATAACACGTATAAGTATAAATTCTGATGCTTCATTACTAAAGTTAAATGGCAAACTAAAGTGGATGAACAATATTCGAAGTTTTTGCGGATCCTACAATGGACGCAGTGGAATTCAGTTTTTAGTGACGCTTTTGTAACCTTGTATAGATAAGTACATAGAATAAACTATATTAATAGATTCAACTGTTATACTATTTGTGTAACTAATGAAGTCATTATACATGACTATAAAAATATCAAAAAACTTTAGTGTTATAACCTGCCTATATTTTTGTTTCTGTAATATCTATGTATTATTATGGCAATCATTATTTTAACCATTAATCACTAAAATGAATATGGCAAACCCTTCAACTTCGATCATTTGACTAAAGTAATAGTTGTCCGATCCGAAAAAATGTAATGTGATCAAAATTCGACCGAATTGACACAGTATTTGGCAAATTAACGAAAGATTGGTTATACTATTATGCTTGCTATAGCAAATCTTATCAAGTTTAAATTAAATAAATAAATAAATTTATTAACGACTAGCGGCCCGTTCCGGCTTTGCACAGGTCCGCCCGTGCGAATGTCCACATTTTTACAACATTTTAAAAAGTAGTTATTGTGACATAACGATAATAGTTGGACATATAGTATCGTTTTTAATAAGTTTTTTTGTAGTTATTGATATTTTCTTCAATATTGTAGAACATACTTTTATTCTATCACCAATAATTTCCGCAGCGCATGCGACGAAAGATATTTTATAGCATTTTTTACACCTTGAGTTATGTTATTAAAGTTTTAGTAAGGATCCCTAATCTTTTCTAGCAATTAATATAGCTTATATTAATCAGGGTGAATGTAGCTTTCTAATGGTGAAAGAATTATTGAAATCGGCAGAGTAGTTTTTGAGTTTATTAATTACAAACATACATACACACAAAAATACAAATCTTTCCTCTTTATAATATTAGTGTAGATTTTAACTATAATTGTATAGTACTTATTGTAAGATGCATTGCAGGCAACTTTTCATTCTATGACCAACAGGCGTGACACTTTAATTGATGACATTACATACTTGCTTAACCGCAACTTCATCCGTGTGACTGGAATATGTTGCTTGACTGGGATAAAAAGTAGTTTATGGCCTTTTCCATTCCCAATATATGTCAAATTTGGTTGAGCCATTAAGACATCAAAAGGCAATAAACAAAGCCAATTTCATATTTATAATATTAGTGAGGATTACAACATAGAAGTTTGTTTTTTGTTTGTTCGTTACCTCTCGGCCTTCTAATTTTATATGTCTCACTTAATTGAGTGAAGTCGCGGGTAAAACTTGTTAATTATGTGATACAAGCTTTTTCCCATAAAAGAAAAGGAATGGCAGTTTCACACGTTATTATACATATATCATACGTGCCTAAAAATGTTCATAAGATAGCTAGATGCGGCATACTAATATTATTTGACTTATTTGTCTGCAGATATATTGACTTTACAAATATCTATTAGATAACATTTAAAAAGTAAAATGTTAATAGTCAAATATATAATAAAATGAAGACGGTTGCGGAAAATCAAATCTTCAAATAAAAGCAATGCAAAACGAAGACAACGTAGAATTCTCGCATGCAGGACTGCTAAAGTTGGTATCGACCGATGAAGACTGAGTTTTTCGCGACCGTCTCCACACGATAAATAATGCCTGCCGCTCACTTTGACAAAAACTTACCTAGTCCTGTTCGGTGGCCGGCGACGCACGCTCCCCGCTCCTCGTCGTCTCTCACTCTCCTCGTTACTTTTTCTGACCATTCCACGGCGCCGGCGCAATCCCGAACCGCTCACTTCCAACATCGTAAACTATGCCCTAACTATTTACACTGCTATGTACTCCTAAATAATAACTACTTATATTTATGGCAATTTGTTTAACTTCACCGACTATTAAAACTGCAGGAACACGATCACGTTTACACTATACTTATGCGAGAGTATTGGAGGATTAGATGGCGCGGAAGGTTATTCTGTTTCACACATGAGTCCGATATCAGAATAGCGGATTATTAATTTAACTTACGACTCTTTACTTAGCTTTAAGGGTACGAGACCGGGTCTCTTTGGTAGGCATATTAAATTTGTACAATACAGTCCGTCTCGCCGACGCTGCCGAGCTACATTCGCTACGTCGCACATAATGTAAAACGCACTACGATTCACCTACACTATGTTACACGGAAGAGATTCCTACAAATTGCACTGGTTTCCAAACGCCTTTGACGATAGCGCGAATTAAAATATTAAAATTCAATAAATCAACAATAAACAAAACTCGAAACACAAAATAATACGACCCGTTTCTAGTCTAGCATTTAACAGTTTATTGTTCGTTCAATTAATTAGAAAAACATGTGTCTATTTAATAATTAATTTAAAAAAAATAATCACAACAACCGAACAACACTTAAATAACGAAAATAATTACAAACAATATACAAACACAAAACTAATGAGTGTTCGGCGGACTGCGATCTTATCACTGGGCAACAAGGCCGATCCCTAGGCGGGCATTATGGTATAAGACCTTAATGTTCAGTACGACCCTGCTCGGGTTTTATGGCTTAAGGCCTTAATGTTCAGGATGGCCCTGCGCAGCCGCCGCAGCTGCGGCCGCCGCTGCTGCTTTCTGCGCCTGCGCTTGTTTCTCTTGTTCGTTTAGCTCCTTTATAGCTTGTATTTCCTTCTTTAATTTCATCCTTCGATTCTGAAACCATATTTTGATCTGTCGCTCCGTGAGACAGAGTGCATGCGCCATTTCGATGCGTCTCCTCCGCGTGAGGTAGTGGTTCGTGTGAAACTCTTTCTCTAACTCTAGCGTTTGATATCTAGTGTACGTTTGTCTTCCTCGTCTTCTCAGGCCATTCGCTCCTGTAACAAATAAAATACAATATTAAAACATGTGGAGAGTTTATCGACCTCGGTTCATCAGTGGTTTCAAGTGGGCTTTTAGAAGCACAGAACGCATCTGTGGGCGCTCTTAGCGTTTGAATGTTGAATGGGATTGGTTGTCTCACACGGGTTAGTTGAAATGACTATACAATTGGCGATGACGACAGCTTCATTTCGTTCTGCTGTCAATATTGATATGTGGCCGGGAGCACCCTTTTAAGAGCCGCAAGGCACCCATTCTGGTTGCAAACTTGATTAAGAAACATAAGCAAACGTGAGGTAGGTTTGTTGTATAATGTACACAGATAATATCTACGGTGTTAAAGGAATTCATGTGTGAATTTAAATTTTATTAATATCAGTATATAATTTGAATACACTCGCATAAATTTAAGAAGTTTTATATGTATACCTGTGCTGCTGCCAACCAGTATGTATTCAGTGTCAAAAATCTGAGATTTAATGAAAGGCATTAAATTTATTTAGGTAATTGAATGCTTTTGAATTGTATACCGGGAACTCGATTGGAATCAATGATAACTGAAGAGCAATCGTTCCCAAAAATTCGATCGGTTAGCTATGTTAGGGTTGGAAATCTTAGAATTTCTATTATAATTTAAATTAATTTATTTGTATATCAAATAAATTCTTAATTATAAAATACATAAGTGCAAAAAGGTATTTATTCAAAATTGTAGAGCTAAATAATAAAAATATTGGTATTTTAGTGAAATCATACCCGTATTCACTTTGTATTACATAAATTTTGAACAGGTATTCGTTATCGAAAAAATATTTGATAAGTATATTAATTATATTATTCAATAACGAAACGAATAACGAATATTCATTTATGACATTATTTAAATAATTAATGCCATAACATCAAATAATTCGTTATAAAAAACCATAAATGCCACTTTAATATACCAATTATAATTAATACTCTACTAGTAATTGTCATGCATATACAAAATCTATCAAAAAAATCTTTGGTTCTCGACTGGTTTGGTTCTGGTTGGTTTTGGTGCTGACCAGAAACTCAAGAATGCAAGAACTTTTTATTGAATTTGATATTCACAATATAGGTTCTAAGTTTACAACAACAGTCATTATAAACTTTAATTTTTTTTTCAATTTTATCGTAATAATAAATTAAATTAAAAAGAGATGTAATTGTCAGCCCTATTGAATATAAAACCTGAGGCCGCGGCGGTGCGCGGCGTTGCGGTATGTAACGAAAGCTTTCATTGCATGCCGCGTTGTTGCGTGCTCTTTAATGTATAGGTTTTTGAACGCACGCCGAATGCATTTCAACTTTTTTATTTATTTTGAAACCGCCAAAGTTTCTCAAGATATACCTACAAATTAAAATCTCAATTGCGAATGAAATCTACGAAATACCAGAAAGTCAGGACCTTTTATGTGGAAAACATGTAACACGTAACTTCAGATCCTGTTTTATATAACAAGTACATTTTGTTCAGCAGGAATTACGATTTCAATTCTGATAAACCGTATTAAAACAATACATATATTTTTGTTGTAATCTAATATCTGTATTAAAAGTGAATGTAAAAAAGCATATAAATAAATAAATAAATGTTTCGTAGGCACGTTACAGCGGAAACGTTTAAATATAAAATGTGATACGAATGACTAAAATATTTAAATGTAATAAAATTACATAAATGTAACTAGTATGTAATTAACCTTATCTATGATATGAATAATCGTTATCTATAAAAAAAAAGTATAATCATCGAACATCCATTCAGATCTGACAACGTAGTCACTTAACATGCCCTCAAAAAATGCAAAAGAATGAAAAAAAGGTAACCTTTACCTTACGGAAGTATGTGGTCTAAAAATGAATGCTTTTTGGAGTTCAGTAACTCCAATTACATTACTTACTCTGTACATTACTGATTCTGTATTGATAATTGAATGAATGAGTATACTTTATTTGCATTATACTATATAGAGGAAAAACAACACAATTAATAAATATAATGATACAAATTGTAATTATTTATGTAAGGAACAGATTTAGATCTACATAACAAAGTTATAACATTTAATTAGGTACAGTTCAAATACGCCCACTGTTAAACCACTCAAGTGCTACTTTAACATATTGTCGCTATTGAAGCATGCTAGATATAAAATGGAAACTTTTGAGATATCTTCCATAGTGAAGGGTTAAAAAATTACCACATAAATCATGTCAAGTGAGGGAGTCACATAGAAACATATCTCATATTCTATTCATTATTCGGTTCTAAAGAGAGATAAAAAGTAGGTTTTAAAATTGTTTTTAAATTCCAATATATATATAAATAAAAAAATTGGAACCGATGACATTTGAATTCTACTGTAGTTATTAATAAAAAAATATGATTCGATATCCTTTGAGACATAATATTTAAAAAAAAAAAAATAATAATAAAAGCAAATTAAACATAACTATTAAAACTTAGTTCTATAGAAAAATAATTGTGATAAAACCAGTTATTTTGATATAAAAACTAAACCACTAAAGTGATTTTGATAAAATTTCTATATGATCAATCTTAAGTATATACTTTCAGATAAAAAAATTTTTCTAATTAGTTTATAACTGACGGTGTTTTGACATAACAAACATAAAAAAATAGATTCGAATAGACAGCCTCCTATTCTTGAAGTCTGTTAAAAATATCAGGATAATAGAAAAGACTTTTTCTAAGGGTATAATTTTCGAAATTAGCTTAGTTTTTGACAATTCTGGGATGTTTCTTAAATACGGTTGGTACGTTTTTAAATACGTATCGGTTTTCTGAATTTTAATGAGACAATGTGGTATTCACGTTTGATCTCAAACAATTGACCTAGTTATTGATTCTACAAGACTTATAAAGCATGATATTGTCAAATTTTGGAAAATATGCTTTCGAAATAGTATTTGATCGCCTTTTCGACGGACCAATCTTTATTACAAGAAAGTGCCGGGTTTCTTTCTCCCTGCCAGTAATTTAGCTTCCCTTACTGGAAAGTTAAGTGCAACCTTTTTAATTATTAACAAAAATTCTTCCATCCAGAGTAGTGGTTAATTGAGTGACGCTAATTACAAAAGCCGTAAAAGCCTTCTGAGGGTGGCACGTAAATACTGGGGGACCTTTCTATAAGTTGACCATTGTTTAGTCGACTTGAACGGAAATTTATTTTTATTTTGTGAACTGCCTTTCAGGGGATTGGCTAGTTGTTTTCCTATTACGTACAACAACATGAGTAATATATGTAATAATACGTATATAAGTACAGATATTTTACAAATAGTTATTAAAAACATTATTATTATTAAATTGTGAGAAAAACAAAAAGAGTACTTAAAAATATGCTAATATAATATAGTAATTAAAAAATATGCTATGAATTTGCAAAGACAATGAATTAAGGAAAGAAAAAGGAGAAATCATTATATAAGCAAATGGAAATAAAAAAATACGGCGCCAACTTTACCAATATTTAAGGATAAGTAATACTAATATAAAGTAACTATATAAATATATATACATTACTCGTATATAATCAAGACGGACAAAAAATCAAAGCAAAAACCCATAAACACACATGTGCCATCTAATTAGTACGGTCACAATTTCATGTCAATTTGCGCCTTGTAAATTCACCTCAAAATCCGGAGTGCGATGTAAAAGTAATAAACATGACACAAATGGCTTCATTAAGGCCCTGGGCGGGGTTTGTGGTCTAGCAAAAAATACATGTAGTGTCACTTTAGGGCCTAATAGGTATATAATGACACCAAATGTTTCCTCACGCACAAATCTGGTGAATATCATCAGCCTGAATGCATTATGGTTTCCGGAAGAAGGGGGTGTGACGACTCAATATTCCCGTAAAGCATTGACACAGTTCAAATTTCATACAGATGTCAATTTCTATTATATAAACGACGCACAAAGATTGTGACCCTTACTTTAGTAAATTGTCGAAAAGAATTAAGATTTGAAATATTATAATTACAAATAAATTATAATTGGAGTAAATATTGTTATTTGTAATTTGATAACATTAAACCCGATTAATAGTCTGAATGAACTGGAAAGACCTGTGTCTAAAAATAGATAGATATAGACTTAGATGAGAAATCAAAATAAGCCATTGGACTTTGTACGTAAAAATATACAAGCTATCTTATCTTATAAATGAAAGCCCGAAGTTGAAAGATATATGAATTTATTGAAATGTTATAGTCACAATTTACAAAAAAAAAGCAACTATCTACTTACAGTTAACCGATTCTGAAATTTAACATCAAATTTCAAAGAACAAAAGCTCTTACAAGAATATCGACTCACAATCGTTCTTAAGATTCCCTTGCAAGTGTCAGCAACCCGTTTTGCAACACGTGTCGCAAACAAAAGAAACTTGTCCAACTGCGTCCCGCTCCCCGACGGGCGACAAAAGGATTGCGCAAGTTATATTAGTCGTAAAGAATTTTGGACTAAGATCTATAGCTTGTAAACCGCCCGTAATTCTCAATGGTCCCGCAATTGCCGGGGACATTCGCAACAACTGTTGTTTGCTTCAACGTTTTAATTGTTACTAATTCGTAAAACTTTTACACGTGATTTACAACTGTTGTTTTAGTATCGGTGGCTTTTGTACGGCCACTTTTTTGGGACATGTGGCAAAGGAAGCGTTTGTTGACACTTGTGGGTGCGTAAATCGTTTTTAATGACAGAAGCGACTTTTTTTGTTTGTATGTACGCAGCTGTGAGTATTTTAATCATAGATATATAAAAAAAATCACAGATTCCCATACAACAGTTTTACCCAAAATTTAGTTAAAAGCTTTGAGTAGTTATTGTAGGACAGGTCATGAGTGGCTCCTTGTTTTCTGTAAGTATGAAACTTCTGTCTATTACAATTAAAAAAAATTATAAGAATATACTAGCATATTTAGCAATAAATAT